CCTGGCAGCTGCCGTTGGCCCGTTACTGGCGTGTCACGAAACAGGAAAGCTAGGTATGGGACAGGTGACGCACGGATCCCCGAGGACGACCGATATGTTGACGCAGGTGACAAGTGTTGAATGGGTTCATCGTCATCGATAGCAAGCACACATGTGCGCACAAATACATATGTGGTTTCTACATCGTATAGTAGTTTGTTATGCATTGCAAATATGTAGCTCAGTACGATGGTTCGCCATCGGTTTTACACAAAGGGAAATGGCTGGCATCACGCATTTGTCTAGCCTAACGCGTTATTTTTACACAACTTGCACCTCAATGTTACAACACGGTTGGGCGAAGCCAGAACCAGCGGCGCGCGCTAAGCCAGAACTTGTTGAGCTTGTTGCTTTATACCCGCAGCCGGCAAGTTTCTGATGGAAAGCTCAGGACCTCTATTCAATACCAAATTTAATAAATCGTAACAGCAGCCCCTCGCCCCGTTGGGGGGGGCATTTTGGCCCCCCTGTGGTTTTTCCTGAATAGCAAGAAAACGGCGGCGCGCAGCGCCGCCAAATTTTCAGTACCTTCCCGGGCATCAATTTGACACCTTCACACCAAATTTCAAGCCTTAGGTCACCTTAGGTCAGGAGTTATTGAGGTCAAACTGAGGTCATGTTCGAGCAAAAATGAGCAAAAAACATGCAATCTTGAAACGCTCACCAAATCTACAGTTATCAAGCAATTCCAAAGTTCTTTATATGGTCTAGTAGACAAAAAGCGGCGCTACAAAACTGCTATCTCGGATTTTCAAAATTTTGGGTTTGTAACCCCAAAAAATTCAAAAAATTGATTTTTTCAGAAAAACTAAAAAAAATCAAAAATTTTCCAAATTTCGAAAAAAAAACGGAATATATGTGATAGTCCCTGCGCTCTGCTATATACATACCAAATTTCAGATCGATATATTGTTTTTTGGCCAAGTTATAGCGAAACAACTGTTCAAAAATGATGACGTCAAATTTTTGAACTCATTTTTTTTTTGCGATTCTAGACCAGGTACGGCAAAACAAAGACCACCATTGAACTCCCCGTGACAAGCTGCATCGATTCGATACCCATTTTATGCAAAAAATATCAACTTTGAAATTTGACCTAATTTGACCTGACCTTGACCCGACCTTGACCTGACCTTGACCAAAACGTGACCTAAGCTGGCCCGAAAGGCTGCCTGACCCACATAATCGCATTTGTCATGTAAAATGGACCATAAAACATGTATCACACGACACTTTCATATTGTGACCCCCCAGTGACCTGACCTCTGTGACCTGACCTGGTATCAGTGACCTCAAATAGCAAAATATGTGTTTGAAGAACATTTCCCCATCGATGATTTTCAATGAAATGCATTTTACTCGATTTTACAACGCATTTCTTGAAATGCCTGTAAACGGTGAAAATTGGACCTTTGACCTGACCTGTGACGTCATCGGTTTGACCTAGGTCAATAAAATTGGGTCACAAGGTAGTTCGTTGATAGGGCTATCCAACACCGTTTGCCGCTTGTCGCTAGGTTGCGTGGTTCTCGAGATCTTAGGGGGCGTTGCTCGGCAGAGCCCAACGGGGCGCGGGTTAAATCTTAACTCCCTGTCAGTTTAACATGGGCGTTGGTACCCGCTAACGTTTATGTGACGAAGTTATTGACGGGCGCACAAATGCTTTACATAGCCACATATGCTGAAAAAGCCCGCCTTCTACCAATGCAAAAAAAAAAGTTTTGAAGGTTATCACATCATGACCTAGTTAATAGCAGCCCAGTTGGAGCTTAAACAGCTTCGTGATCATTATTTCGTCTGGGGAGAAGGCGACTGGTTGATATTTTTAGATATATGATCTTATTGTCAGCAGCCTTTCCGTTAAAATACCCTGCTTACCTTGTGCAGCTACTACAAAACCGTGTCATACTGTCAATATAACTGGATCATGTGGTTTCCCACCTGTCCGCAAAAAGCACATAAATGTGTCACAACACAACATCAGTGGTTGCTGCTACTGTTCTCGCCTTGAGTCATGCGGTCCGAACTTCAAGCGAAATTAGGCTCAAACGCGATTACAATCTTATAAAAGACACAGCTTCAACCTTGTCCTTAATCCAGGTGGAAGTGCCGGTGCAATTAACTTGCGGATCGAGAGCACTATCAACATAATTCGACCAATGCAATAGGTAAAGCGACATTGACTACCAACAGTTCAATTGAGAAGTGTTTTGTTTTAATTACTTTTAGTTTGATGCCTTGTTGATTTGATATAAAAACTCAACCCTTGGATGATGCAGGAAGTTAACCACTCATAACCAGTAACAAACATAAAACACAATATTAATACACATTTTACTTTACACAAAACGTAAAATGTTTTCACTTATTTCATCACAGTATACATCATGTACTTACATATATACCTAGAGTCTATAATTTCAGGAAAAGGAATTTGGTCGTTTAAACTGGATTTTTTTTTTACTTCCAGATATTCCATTGAGTACCTTAGTACTACATGAAAAGATACTGCATAGTTACCATAGACCTCTCTGTACCTCTGACCATAGACCTCTCTGGTGTACAGAGGTCTTTGTGCGACAGGAAAAAAACAAAGTAGAACCAATTCAGTTGTTTTGACAACATGGCGCCGATCTGGATCTGGATCTGGATCTGATTTGGACAACCGGATCTGGAGCGAGAAGGCTCAGGACAAGGTCGCAGAAGATCAGCTGCACCCGCCCCGATGCACTGGATGGTGCGCTGTGAGCAGCACGGGCAATTATCAGCCCAATCTGGATCGAAGATGACGCGGGCGACATCCTCACAGTGACGGCAGAGCGCTATCTGCAGCTGCTCAAGAAGTTCTGGGGACTGCGCTCCAGCGGGTGTGTGGACACCATCAACGAGTAGCAGGATGGTGCCCCCCGCTCATGCAGCCACTGTGACCCTACAGTGGCTACAGGAGCGCTTCGGGGGGAGGGGGGGGGGGGTGGGGGCTCATCTCCCGAGGCACCCCCACCAGGTGGCCACCGAGGTCTCCGGACCTCACGCCGGCGGACTTCTACCTCTGGGGTCATGTCAAGGAAAGAGCCTACAAGAGTGAACCCCGAAACATTCCCGAGCTGAGGGCTGCGGTCTGCGCGTGCGTGAGGGCGGTGACGCCCCAGGAGCGCCGCCGAGTTCTGGAAGCAGTGCGCCGTCGGGCCAAACTCTGTTTGGCTTGAAGTGGTGGTCACTTCGAGCACCTGCTCTAGGTTCAGGGAAGGGGATCAAATAGTGATCATTGGCGATGGATGTGAATTTCCAATGATGACTGATTAGTTGTAGCCAATGACAATGTGTGTGCGTCAATAAACATGAGAGATATAGGAGAAATAAATGTGTCAGCATTTTCAGAAACACCCTGTACTTATAGGTATACATTTCCATCATAAGTGCAAATACTCGTAATTGATCAGTATGTGCCCACACGTATCATTTTTTTTTTCAATAGCGGCAGAGTACCATATGCTAATCACATTCAGCGCATGCTAAACTCTCGGGCACCTGTCAGCGGGCTGCGGTGCGGCGCGGCTCCAGTTGGGCCGGTTCCATGACACACCGCAGACAGTTATGGGCCATCCCGGGCAAATGTGGCGCACCCTGCACAGAGCGGCGCACTATCGCCGGGTCATCGTCCGCAGCTCCTGCTGGCCGAGCACAGGTCGCCGCCGGTGACAGCCACAGGTCGCTGCTGGAGACAGTCGGGCCGACAGGGCGGTCAACCGGCCGCACAGTGGTCTGATCTGTCCACCGGACAACCAGTCACCGCCTGAACAGACCCGATTAGTGATCGGCTGCAGAAAGAGGTCCGGAATTCAATCCTAATTGGCATATGCTGGTTTCGCGATCAATGTTGACTGCGGTAACAACTGCAGACCACGATCGGAATAGATAACGACAGCCGCCACCACAGGACTGGGGACGGTGAACAGTGGTCCCGAGGCGGCGACAGGCTTAACTATACGAGTACACCAGAGGCGTTGTCTGTAGACTGCAGACTACAGCAAAGACATCGATAGGAGATGTCAATTCAAACCATGAGGCAGAAAAACGTTCGCCAGTGCGGTTGGGTACCTAACTATTGATTATGACAAAGACGCCAGACACGGCAAAGAGGCTGGTCAAAGCAGAGAGGAAAGGTTCCCACGATAGAAACGCAGCCTAGGCAGCGCTAAAAGCAGATCATAGCAACCGGTACAGTACCAGTATAGTTTGTGGTTTATATCGGGAATTTGTGAGCTAATCTGCATCTTCCTAAGCATGGAAAGTCAAAGCAGCCGAGCGAGTTTCTATAACCTGGTTCTTAGCAAGGAAGCGTAGTAAAGCTTTCTGGAAAATGTTCTTTAAGCAAATTAAAACAGGGAACATGTATAATGCTGCCACACAACTATCTTAAGCGGATTAAGGTATTTCATTTATTTCATATTATCTGGCATGGAGGACACCTGTGACCTGACAAAACACCTGGATAGGTAGCATATCACGTTTCATGACGTGTTTCACGTCTGTTTCTTAATGTTTACGAAGGTGTCATACATGCAGGTAATAGACGTATTCCCGGAAAGCGAAAGTGAGTAGCAGTAAACATGACGTAAGCACTCTCGTAAGCCTATCAAAGGCTCATGAGTTGCACCGTTCGCTTGTTGCATCTACACGGCAGCCGATAGGAACAAGTGTTACACTGTGCTTTCCCGCGTTCATCGGGTTCATCTGTTGCCACTGCAGATCTGCAGCCGCCCCCTCGTGGTCTGACCGACCTCAGGTGACCGTCACGCTCAGTCCGGTTTGGCTCGGAGACCTCAGAAGACTCCTGCTGCCGACCTGCCGGCCGTCTGTCAGTTCAACTGACCGGCCGTCCGTTGGTCGCTAAATCTGACCGGTCTAAATCTCTGTGACAGGTCAGCCCGCCTGGAACCGGTCTGAGATAGCCGAACAGCGACTGTGCACTGGCCACCGCCGCGGAAGGCGCGGTGACACGCGGCACGTCGCGGTCGGTCACATCTGAGCGAGGGGCGGCACTCCGGCCGGTGCAGCGGGGGGGGGGGGGGGGTCGGAGGTGACCTGCCCGGTCCAACACACCGGCAGGGCAACCGGTTCACGGCCGGTCGATCCCGGCTGAAAACAGCGCAGCCGGAGAGACCGGCCCCATTGCATTGCGCGCGTACCGTGCGGCCGCCCGCCTCTCCGGAAATGGCCCCTCTGAGGAGCTGGCTGGCGCTGACACTTCTGGTCGCCCTGGTAAGTACCGAGCTGGGTGTGAGTCCTCCGCTCCCCTCCCCACCCCTGCGTCTACTAATTCCGGTAGATGTCCCGGCCAATCAGGAGCGAGCCGCGCCCCCGGGGCATCATAAACGAGATACCCGTGGTCAGCAGATCATCGGCGGTGGTCGGTAATCTTATAATCCGCATTGTTGTGTCGACTTTTCCGTGTCATGTGGTGACCCCTGAGTGGGTTTTCTGACCACCAGGTATTCTGGGGGCGGGTCGGGTCATAGGTGCGGGGCTGGGGTCAGCAGCAGGGTCGGGCTCTTATCTAATCGTGGATACCTCGTGCATTGCTGTGGCAGGTAATACCAAAGGTTTGAAACGGGCGATTCGATCACTTCCCAGTGCGTTGAGTGCAGTATTTCCGGGAACTATATAACACTTATAGAAATTACTTGCATAGGCGACTTTGTTCATTACCGAGGGTTAACTACCTAATAACTTGCAATGCATATCGCTGTATCTGTTTAATTTTCTTATTCAGAGCGCTTAATAGAAAAAAAGGCAATGGAAATTTGCATAATTAGAATTGAAGTTGCACGTAAGATTGCTGGCTAATTTTGTCCATTGCAAACAACTCCAGTGAAAGAAATCACTCACTTTATAGGTAGCGTCAAGTCGACCGCTGGACGAAGGAACGAGAACTAGGAATGAGGCCTTGATAACTAAGCTACGACTCACCGAACTGGAGATATATCGCTCCAGAAAAAATGTAATTGAATTTTTATCTTGTTCAATAGCCAGACTTACCAAGAAAACTTTGAATTTTAAGCCGACGACACGTACCTAGGAGTCGACGCCCCCCCCCCGCAATGCCATCCCAGATTTCTTCCTCAAATATCTCCTTACAATAAACAGGCAAATCAACCAAAAAATACAGCGGCACTATCAACACAGTTTCTACACATGCCGACAAAAAAAAAATCCGTAGAATATAATGGGCTATCCGAGGACGACGTCAGGTGGACGGAAAATGACGTCAGAGTGGCGTACGCTATTTTCGGCTAAAAAGTTTGCAGAGAGACTCCACAGCTCGAATTTAGATGACAGATAAAAATGTTTTAGACAAAAAAGATGGATCAATAGTAAGGTAAACAGTCAATTAACTCCCACTTTGGAACTAACAATGCTGATTTTCACCCGCCAAACTTGATAATATATCTTTTATAACAAAAATTGCTACAATCGTTAATGTTGAACAGACCATCGCTTGCTAATTACGACAAAAAATAACATCTATAACTAAAGTTCTTGGTATAAGTACCGCAAAGATGATCAAGTGATAAAAAGACAGGCTAAGAGTGGCATAAAGACACGGCAAAAGAACGGTTTTATTATTTGACCTTGTTTAACCTTAACTCGATCTGACCTTGACGTGACCTCAGTTTTAGCTGACCCGAAAGGTCAACAACCTCACCAATTAATGTGAATGCCATGGATAACATCAACCACCATGTTCATGTTATACGTAAATGTCAATACGACCAGAAATAATCTGTAACACTGCAAAACAATTTTTTATATTTTGACCTCTTGTGAGATGACTTTTTATCTGAGCTATGTATGTACATACTTGACCGATTTAGTTGCGGTACTTTTTGTAAGGTAGCTTCATTCCTTCTTCCAAGTTGGACTATTCTCGATACATGTGGGTGACCCCTTGTGCTCGTGCCATGCGTGCAAAACGAAGAGGTGTCAGTTTTGTAACAATTACGATGAATCGGTAACTACTCGATCGATTGCGCTGAAACTTGGCAGGTAGGTAGGCAGAGGTACCCACTAGGCAATGTATTAAGTATTTCCATGTGCCACAGTTGGGGTGCTGCTGCACGTGCGCACGTGCAGTGGTCGATTCTAGGTCTCGAGAACGGCTGAACCGATTGTGCTCAAATTTGGTACACGATTGGGGTTAGGTTAGTAGGGTGCCGTGCAAAAGTCAGTTGGGACCCAGTTGGCACGTGCGCACGTGCAGGGTGCCGCTTCCAGATCTCGAGATCGGCTGGGCGCGCGATAGCGTAAGCATAAAAAGTTACTAAGACGACTCTGATCGAGTCCATTTCATTTCAGATCGGATGTGAGGCAGCGCCGAGAGAGGAGGTCGCAAACACAGCGCCCTTGAAGGAGGGGGAACCCCAGGTGCAGCTGAGGGAGAGCAGCACAACTCCAAAGAATGAGACAGAGGAGGAAGAGGAAGAAGGGCCTGGGTTCACCGAGCGAGTCCCCAGCTCCTGGCTGAGGCCGGTGATTCCCGATGATGAGTTCGAGAGGCGCGCGTCACCACTCGTTCGAGACTCTCTGCTAGCCGAGGACCTGGACATGGCCGAGTTCTCTGGTGAAGGGGAGGATGCCCAAGGGGAGCCCTCTCAGAGTGAATCTCCACCGTCGTCGAGTGAAAACTTCCATAGCGAAGACGCACTTATTTTGAGTGCTGAAGCTCATAAGGATGCTACGCCGTCCGCGGACGGTTATTATATGAAGGCACCTTCCCACAGTCCTCTGGATTTGGATACTCCCTCCTCCACGTCTCCTCATACTCCTCAGGAGGTAGTTACTCCTTCCTCCGTGTCTCCTGAGGAGCAGGAGGTCACCGAGAGCCCCGGCGAGGAGGAGACTGCCACTCGGGCCATCCCGGAGGACTGGAAGCCCGACCTGCCGGCACCGGAGACGGAGGAGAACGCGGAGGATGAGGAGGGTTTCGTGGGTCGCGAGCCGCCGCCACCTCCCAGTGAGACCAAGCTGTGGGTCACCCCGGCCAAGCTGGCCTCGATGCCTGTCGTCCAGGTGGATAAGGACACTGACTGTGAGTAGATCCGTCTCTCTACCAGGACAGTAGCGTGCAGGACTCTTTGCAGCCTTTCGCTCTCACTTAAATTCCATAGGTTGGCCGTTAGGGTGCTGCTTTTTGGCTTATGTCCGCTTGGAAATCTGACATGCTTTACATGTTCAGACACACAGAAGGTTGAGCCAAGAAACGTTTATTGCCTTTTGGTCTCAGAAAGCCCGTTTTTAGAGCCTTAAGTTCGCAAAGTAATGTTATTTACGGATTTCTTGTGCTGCTATGCAACACATGTTGCGCAACCAATGCTTACATTGAATGCATTAAAAAATAAAGTTGCTTTAGATATCCATTTAGACGTACTTGTTCATAATAACCAACACCTTGATGCATGTTCATCAGTGGCCGACTTCGGGAAGTTCAGACTGGCGGACGGCGTCAAAGCAAAGTTTGCTTCACCAGAATTTCCGGACGAGTACCCACGCTACGTCTGGAACACATGGCAGTTCTTGGTGAGTTTGAACCATATTCAGCCATCAAGTACCACGTACCGTTTAACATTACCGCCGAAAAACTCATTTTCAAGTCTAATCTAAAACGCCCTGTTTTTTTTCTTATGGTGATGAGGATTACATTCCTGGATCAAACGATAAATGTAGGATACTACTACAACTTCCTGAAAGAATGACTGGTGCTTTTCCGACAAGTGCAGCTGCATCTTACTATAGCCAGAGCCCAGACTGAAATACAGACGCGCCTGCTGCCAGCCCAACACCAGTGTGCGATACCAGTATAACACCATGTAGAATATTGTAGAATATTGTTATCATTTATCATACACTGTAAAAAAAGTTTAGCACCATAGAGGTACTTTTCAATTGACTAATTTTCAGTACCCTAGCGGTGCTAGGCTAAGCATTTTATTCGTACTTAACTGAGATCTAGTTTAGTATCAAGGTGCTAATATAAGTACCCATATTTGTTTAGCACCCGTGTACTAAACGTAGTACCCTACACCTGCTAGACCAATTTTCAGTACCCTAGCGGTGCTAAACTTTAAAAGGTGCTAAGAATAGCATGCAGTTAGTACCTTCCGTACTCACATATGAACCGTTTTAGCGCTATTGTTACCCCACGACAAGTAGAATAATGCTAACGAAAGCATTGGGGCTGAAAGTAGAATATCTATACTAGTTAAAGCTGCTGCATGAAAAGTTCGCAAAAACTGCTTTCTTTAGCAGCACATACTTTCACTAGTTACTGCAAAAAGGACTAATCAATTACCAAAAGGGAAATTGTGATAAGGCCGAAAAGACGTGCAAAAAAGGTTATATCCTAGATAAGTGATAACTACAAGTCTCAATGATTGTGTTTTGCATTCTGCAATATTCCCGTGTAAGTGCATCTTTCAAGCATCCAACACATTATAAAATTAAAAAATAATAATGGAACATTTATTAACACTTCATATCATCTGCATGAAAAACAAATGTGAATATATACACAAACAAACGCACGGGAAATAACGAAAGGTCGCTCATATACCTGCACACTCGCAGTGACCGACGATTAACGCGAGATCGACTGGGGGAGGCGGGGGGGGGGGGTCGTTGAACCGACGTTCCGTTCATGGCCATAAGTTCGACCTCATCCACGACCAGACGGCGTTTAGTGATAGACGGAACCGGAGACCCCATGTTGTTGTCGTAGTTGTCCTCCATTGTAAGTGGTAGTCGACGGAAGAACTGACCAGGCCCCATGCCTGGAGCAAAAAAAAAAAACTGGATCAGTTCCAAGATTTTTGTTTTCTGTTGGGAGCTATTTTCGCAAACAACACAACTTTCCTTCAGATCAAGAAGCGCGATTTGCCAAAGTCGGAATATGAAGCACTTAAACAATATAAGATAATGTCAAAAGATACAACGTGTCAGACTCACCAAAGTCGATCAACGTCGGTGTCGGTGGCATGTGTCGGTGGCAAATGCTCAAGTACCACCCGGCCCCGGAGCACTTCACTTCACTTCACTGCACTGCTGCACTGCACTTCCCTCCACCTCACTGCCTCCCGGAGCAGGGGCACGCACTCCCATGCCACGCACGACGGATTCCACCGATAATAGCTGATTTAAGCTATCATTCCAGAGCTATCACTCGGTGGCATGTGCCCGGAGCACTTCACTTCACTTCATTTCACTTCATATACCGGAGCACGTGCACACACTCCCACCACGACCAACGGACTCCACTAAAATGGCGCAACACGTGGCCGGAAACAGCTGGCACGCGCATGCGCATATCGCTCTGCGCCGTCAAAACGTGCTAAAGGGCTGGTGATAAGACTCCCAGAGATTTGTAAAGCAGGGCTTAGCTACTTTCTTTGGCGCCAAATTCAAATTTGTTTCCTCTGTAAGCATGTCCGGTTCTATTGTGATACTAACGTAAGCACCATATTCAGCATTACCAACTTCTAAAACACTTAAAATGGTTCTAATTAGAAATCCAGCTTGAAAGAGCACTCACTGGTGGACTGGGTACTAGCAGAAGTAGACGTTAAGCTCAGTAGAAGAATAGGTGATCTAAACTTATAATATTTGATGGGAATGTTAGCTATCATTAGCACAGTATTAGCACCATGCTTCTTTGTAAATACGTCGTAGGGTTCTTTTGACGCTAAAAGGTGCTACGAATAGCAGCCGTTAGTACCCCAAATGCTAAACTTTTTTTACAGTGTAACACCATGTGTCTGACAGCCGTGTCTTTCACTCCCTCCGGTGGTGTCGACAGGCAGCCGAGGGCGGCGGACCGCTGCGTCTCAGCTGTGGCGTCGTCGACCTGGGTCTGGGCGACACGGTGCGGGTGCATCCCGAGGGCGGCGAGAACTTCACCTTCCACAGCTACGACTTCCGGATCGAGGTGTACGCGGCCAGCGCGATGCTGGTGGAGCTGCGCTCGGACCGCCAGGACAGCGGTCGTCTGCAGTGCACGGTCCGCGCCGGGCCGGTGGACGCCACGGAGGAGGCCGAGACGGTGGAGGAGGAGGTCGAGGAGTTCCCGGCCGACCTGAAGAAGGTCGACCTCAACTACGCCGAGTGCGGGAAGACCAAGTTCAGCACCAGGATTGTCGGGGGTACCGAGCCGCCCGCGCACGCTTTCCCCTGGCTCGTGAGTGCGGAGACGCTCAAAGGATGGGGAGAAAACGGGGCTAAAGGAGGGAATTACATGTTGACGGACAGAGACTTCTTTGCTAACAGTTTGCTGGGTAGACATGAGCGGGTTGTCAGAATATATTCAAGCTCACCGATCGGCACACGAAGAATGGGGTATAAGTCACGTTATTGGGTACGACTTGCTGCAGCCGCATTGTTTGGCCGTTGATAATACATATTTCGTCACTTCTTTCTAAGTGACAAAATTATAAAGTTCACCACATGTACAGAGTTTCTTTTTTATTTTTAAGACATGTTTAACTCATTTATTTCAGCACATTTCCTTTTTAGCTGCAAGGAAATTATTTCAAAACCATGAAATGCAGCAAACAGCTTGAAGATGAATCGTGGTGGCCCCTGATGTGCGGCTGAACATGCCCTGTGTGGTTTCTCAGGTTGCCTTGCAGACCCGTAAAAGAAAGAAGCAGTTCTGTGGAGGCACTATCATCAACGAGCGATTCATTCTGACAGCAGCGCACTGTGTGGATAGGTAAGTTGGTTGTTGGAAAATTGGACGTGGAGAATGGAAATAGGTACAATGAAGGCCATCATACTCATTTCTCTTATTGTCATGTTGTATGGATCATTTATCGATTTATTTGCTGTAGCGAAATTGACGAAGGAAGTGAGTTGATAGAGTTCTTGCTTATTTCGTTCCAGACGCAAGCCCACAGGATTGGCCATCGCAGTGGCGAAACATAAGCGCAGGGACGACCCGACGGAGAAGATCTTCAACGTCAAGAACATCAAAATACACGAGAAGTACAACAGGGCGACCCAGGATCGAGATATTGCCATAATTGAGTAAGTACTTACCTGCCAATCGGCGCATTGACACGTCATCCACAAACTATAGTCGATGGAGTAGCTAAACACCGACAGCTTGACTAGGTACTAGCAATCAACCAGATCATGAAGATCTCAAAGGCAACGACGGTCTCATGCTCCTTATGTTGCTGTTATTGCCTGCGTAAAGATTACTGTAGGTATAGTCTGTGCTCCTCCGTAATGACTGCAAGGGACAGGTGGGTGTTTGTCGGGTGCCGTCGCTATCGACAGCCCTCTGTTGATGGTAGGCTGACCAACTAATTATGTGTCCTCTGTCAACAGGTTGACCCGGTCACTGCGATCAATGATCGCCGACGAGAGGGGCTGGGTTCGCCCGATCTGTCTCCCGAGAAAGACGTGTCGGTCGGAAAACAACTGCTACACGGCTCGCTCTGCCATCCTGGCCGGCTGGGGCCTGCTCGACTCCACCTTTTTCGAGGGACCTGCCACCGTGCAGTACGTCAAGGTGCCCGTCCTGAGCAACAACCAGTGCCAGGAGAACTACGCCAAGGATCGGATCGGCATCACGAGGAGGATGGTGTGCGCCGGCTACCCGGACGGCGGCAAGGACAGCTGCCAGGTATGACCGATGACCGGACATGTTGCCATCATCAGGCGTAGAGTAAACGATGTAGGCTAAATAAATGTGAAGAAGCATGCCAAACATTATTACTGAACGACTTACTTCACACAACACTTCTTTAGAAATGGCGTGATATGGCTTCGTGAAAGGGATCGTTCATTACTTCTGAAATCCGTTTAACCTCCGAACTTCGATTTACGAGCTAACCATTGTCCTAACGAGCGTTGGCTCATCTCTGACGGCAGGGGCCAGGGCTACTTGTCATGATTCCTGATGCGTTCTCTCTCTGTGAACTATTCTGACGCGCGAGTCCGCTCTGCGCCGGTAGGGTGACAGCGGCGGCCCGATGGCGGTCGTCAGTGCCGATGAGGTCTACACACTGGCCGGTGTGGTTAGCTTCGGTAAAGGCTGTGCGCTGCCCGGCTACCCGGGAGTCTACGTTAGAGTGTCCGGTGAGTCGTTCGCAAGTCTCTACATACACTTAAACAACACTTCGATACAACAGATACATTTTTCCGACGCGTCTCCACACCAATTAAATTCTAGTCGAGAGTCTGACGATTCTAATGCCTGGCCTTCGGCAATTTTGTTCACGAATCTGTGGATGAGTTGCTGAGAAGCTAGCAAATATCAAGTAATTTTATATAGTCTCGTCAAAAAAAAGTACTTGCTCATCTTTTCGCCGCTTATAACATAGACCTAGACCTCTGTATGTGGCTCAGAAAAAGCATGATGTTCAAGGCTGAATTACGGTATAGCTTGTTGCATGTTTCACCGGTCACAATATAAAGTTCCTAGCAACGGCCGATAGAGGCGCTCAAGTGCGTTATCGGCCGCCCGACTCTCTTCGTCTGTCGTTGGAACGACCTTGCCGTTGAAAGGCTCGGCCATCCCTCCAAAACCTTAACGTCCCCGCCGTCTGTTTTCGCAGAGTTCACGGACTGGATCCGAGACAACACGCGGCTCTGAGTGCCGGTCCGGTCCCGGCGTTCGGCAGCGGCGCAAAATTCCAGAGACGATTGGGCCCGGGTCGAGAGCTGGCTAAATGTGGCGGCTGAAAACGCACGTCACTCAAGCTCGGCTCGGTGCAGTCCTCATTTCCGCTGGACTGGTGCTAGACTTTGAGTTGTTCCTGCAGCGAGCTGCGTGTGTGCTAAGTGCTAACTATAGACAATTTTAGCATGTTGTAGTTGTGCTAAGGTTGCTGCAAGAGAATTGGTTGTAAGATGCAGCAGAAGGTTGTGATGGTACTAGGCATTCAACATGTGATCACTAACATGGGCTTGTTTTTAGCAATACATGTACTCAACTGGTTTTATTATAATCAATCCCACAATTGTATGAAATGTATGTAATGCATCACTGTCAATTTAATAAGTGTTGGCTCGAAATGATTGAATCAGTCGATGACGATTGTTAACACTTTTTCAAACCATATGAAAGGACCTAAAATAAATATTTGGTGGTTCCTCTTCAGATGATTATCTTTACATGGGCGGCGGTGGTAGTGGCTCAAATACGATCCAAACACGAACGAGTCCGATACACTGTTACAAATAAAAAACAATAACAAACAAACAAATACTCAAAATGCATGGCGCTGATCGTAGAATGAACGTAAATATCTGAGCAATGTAACTTTTCTTATTCATGTAATGCCTATAAGCAATTATTGATAGATGCAAATCAGCAATGCAAGACTTACATAACTGCTGGCTCATTGTCAAGCTGTGTGGTTGGACAAAGCGGATGCTTCACTGCAATTAAAAATTAACCAGTGATAGCGCTACCTGAACTGGTAAATGATTTAAGTGCGTCCATTTTTAATCTTGATTACATAAGAATCTGAATATCACGCTCTGCTTATCCATGCTGGAATATGGCCATGATATTACAATTGCTGAGCTTTGTCGTTAATTGTGCCGACCATAGCAAAATACTAACCTGTTGCCTCAAGATTGCATGGGTCGTACAATTAGGTGGAAGCCGACATATACATTATTGTTATGCATTGACAGAAACGGTTGCTTTAAATCAGCGTCTAAAGGTCAACAACAGGCATATGTACTGTGTAGATTTTCATTCCTGACGTATTCCTGATGCACAGGGTCTTAGGTATAATCGTATGCATGTTAAATTGTTTACACTTCCGTCCACCTCGCTATTTGATGTTGGCGGTTCGTTGATTTGCTATAGAAAACCAAATCCATCTAAAAGTTAAAGTTTTTTTTTTTTGCAAAAACGTGGCATTTTCCTTCACTTCGTTGTCACGTTTATGACTAAATATATCAATACCAAGGAGTTTATTATATAATCAGAAGATCTATAATGTTCAAAGAAATAAACAATAAGCTTGTTAAATAGTTGTCAATTTGTTGACCACATATCATGGTAAGGTTAAATCCGGTCCCCTGAGATCGCAGACCTGCAAATTCACCAGGCTACTTGACGCCTGAGATTGGGGCTGGGCCGAAAGGCTTACATATAAGCCTTTCGGCACAGCCCCAATCTCACTGTACCAGACAGGAAAGCTTATTTCGACAAAACCGAGAATAGCTCAGATATGTATGATTGGTAGAGGCTGCTTGAAATCGTACGTGTGTTAAAAATACGCGGGATACTCCACGCAACAGACTGACTCTCTCCTTGGCTCAACTCAAGTTACACAAAAATTGGCAAAAGTTTTAACCCGGCAGGCGGTGGGCCTTCCGGCAACCTTCCGCGCGGTGGGGGGGGGGCATTTTTTTGCCCCCCCCCCCCGTATCTCCGAAACTACTGGACGGATCCGGAAAAATCAAACGGCGTTCGATAGCCCTGTCAAATTTGTCGAAGGAAACCAAATTTCATCGACCTCGGGGTCACCGATGACGTCACAGGTCAGGTCAAAGATGTTTCACCGTTGGGGCTTCTAGGGAAAGCGCTATAACACCGAGTAAAACGCATTTTGTCGAAAATCACCGATAGGGCGTCAGTTGTGTAGTACATATGTTGCTATTAGAGGTCACTGGTCATACCAGGTCAGGTCACAGGTCAGGTCACCAAAGGTCACCAAGGGTCCCAAGGGATGAACCCAACTTTATTAAAGGGACTATCCCACCTTTAACATGGGGTTTGAGTTGAGATAGCCAAGTTTGCGGCGAGGTTCAGAAACCCACTATCTTTCTAGGTTGCAACCCCCGCGGCCTCTTGGTGTTGAAGAAATTCGTTCCCTTCATTTGAAAATGGGCCTTGTACAAGGCCCTATCTTCAACATGGAGCGACCGTTAGTGTGACGTCACCTCGTTTAGTCATTCTGATTTAAATGGGTTTGTTCGTTGAAAAATCGCTTAAAACTTGGTCTGAACTTTGTTGTGGTGCCTACAGAGTAAAAAGAATCAGCTTTATGACAGTAATGTGGCCTGGGGAAGGAGGTAATTTTGGGCTGTGACGTCACATATTTGAAAGTTTGTGTTTGGAATATGGGAAGCCTAAGATGTTTACTGAAAAATAAATGCCAGAACCGTGTTCCTGGTCATGCAATCTATAAAGTCGGGCACAATTTAACTGGTTTTAACAACATTTTAGAAGGTGGGATAGTCCCTTTAATGTTGTGCGATGCATGTTTTATGGCAAATTTTCATTTCTAACTCAATGGTGTTGGTTATAAGACCATCAGGTACGTTTTAGGTCACTTTCTGGTGGAGGTCAGGTCAAGGTCAGTTGTCAATCCTTCATTTCAATATTCACTGGCAGGATCAATGGGGAGCATTTGGGCCACCCCCTCTCCCGCAGTGCCCGAAATATACTAAAATTTGCGGTATTCTGAGAATAAAACAAAACGAAAACAACTACTTATCAACAAAAGTTTGTTCGAAACTGCGCTACAATGCATATGGAATCGAAATACGATGAGATTTTTTTTAACCCTCGCCAGCACAAGTTCATGCAACACCCCCTAAGGTTTTCGCGAGTAACTCGTGTAAAAAGCGGCCAATCGCGACGACACTTTCAGTACCCTCGTATTGATCGATTTTACACCTACCCTGAAAATTTCATGACCCTGACCCAATTGACCTTTGACCTGTGACCTCTTTTCCGAGACCATGTTTGGCCGGAATCGCGATTCGGCGTATGTCGTCTCGCATTAGCCGCGCGTTTGAAAGCTTTTCGTGATTTCAAACGTTCAAACATGTGATTTGATGTTGCTCCCATGCATTAGGGTGGGTGTCAAGGTCACCTGAAGGTCAGGTCAGGTCATTGACCTTTGGTGACCTCGGTTCACTTTTTCGAGTTTTACATGTTTCTAGGCTAGTTTTTGGAGCTGATTTCGAATTTAGCAACCATTAGAACATTTACGAAGTAGTTTTGGTGCCTTCCCTTCGTAACATGTTACGAAGCTGTCAGAGGCGGTTGACACGTATTACGAATACCCGTCACGACCCCTACCGGTTGACCTGACCTGACCTGACCCGACCTGGTTTAAATGCTTAAAGACATCATCTCTGATCAAAACTAACACGACATTCGTGATCAGCACCCCGGAAACCCCATAGCAACCACACTTTACGACTTTCTAACAGGTCCCGATATTCCCGATTTCTGGGTCATTGACCTGACCTGGAAGGTCACCCGATGACCTAAGACCTTAAAATTGGGTATCATTGGCTTCCTCACGTGACGGGCAGCACGCTCGTTTTTTTTTCGCGAAGCTCTAGCTCCATCAGGGGCCAAACACGAGGGGGGTCGTACCCCCCCCCCCCTTGTGCCGTCGAAGGACTCAAAATGGCCTGTGCCGGCGAGGGTTAAATTCGGAGAAACTTTTTTGGGATATGCCCCCTCTCCGCAGCGCCCAAGACCTCCTTTCTGGATCCGCCAGTGCCGATGTTATGTATCTCACGCATTTGCCGCTACAGTCTATACAGGTTTGTGGCCTGCTGGACGGCAGTCAGTACCGTGCGCCGCGACATCTATATACGCTGACTTACGAGCAGTTGCAACATCAGCCGTGCCGCCAGCATCCTGGAGGCGTGCGCATCGCGTACAAAACGGGAAGCGTCCGTCCTAGCTCTCCAGTGTCCCTCCAAGCCAATTAAGATATCATTGCTCACACAACGTTATCCAATATGACGGTCACCCCTACCAGACAACCGGTGCATGGTGAGGGCAAGATCTCGTTTGACCTACAATACACCCGCCACATAGAGGGTGTATGAGGTGTAAAAGGTTACTGAGCCGCAGGGCGCCGACGGGCTGTCCCATCGGGACACTGCCATGAGCCATCCCATCCCAGCCCAGGTCTCTGCCGCTGCGGCGCACCGTTGGTGATCCAGATATGTTGTATGGTAAGTGTATGCATAAATGTATGATATATGTATGCATTCGTATGTACAGTCCAAGTCCAATGCCTCCAATCTCCACCCTATTATTTTAAGTTCCAATTCCCATGGGTACGGGCGGCTTTGTAGTGGTTATGTCAGACCCATCACCCGAATAGCTCACTCGCCCCTAAACGTGAGTAGCTTCTCAGAAGCAAACTCGCGTGCGGTGGGGTGACCGAAAGTGGTTAACGGAGCGGTTATCTATGGCAATCCATAGCATCCTTGGTCCCAAAATTGTCTCACAATAGACCGAAAGACTCAGAACAAGCCAAACAAAGAAAAACGAACAAACGAAATACGATAGAACAAAGTACGCCGAATTTTGTCGGAAACCAACTGGTAATTGGAAAAATCGTTAGGTATGTTTAGATTAGAACGGCGTTGAAACTTAACCTTCCAGGCGGTGGGGGGGCATTTTTTGCCCCCCCTTTAGTTTTTTCGATATATCTCGAGAACCGCTGCGCCGATCGTCACCAAACTTTCAGTACACTCCCGGGAGCAGCTAGCGCACATGGTGACCAAATTTTTTTTCCAAAGGCTATGATAGGTTGGCCGCTAATGACGTCAGAGTGACGTCATTTTTGCCATTTTCGACCCAAAAAAAGGTTTCGCGGGAAGAGCTGTCAGGCCTACAGCTTTAGAGATACATAAAACTGTTTCACACATAAAAGGTGTGGAATTAAAAGGGCTACAAAACTGCTATTTCGGTTTTTCGAATTTTTTGGATTTTGACCCCCAAAAATCAAAAAATAGATTTTTTGAATATAATAGCCAAAAAATCCAAAAACTTTTTTGAATTTCGAAAAAACCGGAATATATGTGATAGCCCTACCGCCTTCTACCTACATACCAAATTTGAGATCGATACCTCTTTTTTGGCCAAGTTATAGCGAAAAAACTGTTCAAAATTGATGACGTCAAATTTTCAAACTCAATTTTTAGCAATTCTAGACCTCGTAGCGCAAAACTAAGACTACCATTAGACTCCCCGTGACGAGCTGCATCGAAT